TGAAGATATTTTTTGTAGTTTGTGTAGTTTGGAAACCTAAAAGGAGGGTTGTGGACCAGGTCTACTCTGCTTAGTGCAGCATCTAGTGGTGATTTGGATTGTCTGAAATATGCACTTAAGAAAGGATTCCCATGAAGGAGTAATTATACTGAGCGAATTGAAGATATTTTTTGTGGTTTGTGTAGTGGATGGAAAGAGGTATGTACTGCTGCCGTTGGTACTGGTAACTTGTAAGGATTGAAGTTTAGAATTTGGATACCTAAAAGAAGGGTTGTGGACCATGTCTACTCTGCTAAGTGCAGCATCTAGTGGTGATTTGGATTGTCTGAAATATGCACTTAAGAATGGATTTCCATGGAGGAGTAATTATACTGAGCGAATTGAAGATATTTTTTGTAGTTTGTGTAGTTTAAAAACCTAAAAGGAGGGTTGTGGACCAGGTCTACTCTGCTAAGTGCAGCATCTAGTGGTGATTTGGATTGTCTGAAATATGCACATAATAATGGATTTCCATGGAAGAGTAATTATACTGAGCGAATTGAAGATATTTTTTGTAGTTTGTGTAGTTTGGAAACCTAAAAGGAGGGTTGTGGACCAGGTCTACTCTGCTAAGTGCAGCATCTAGTGGTGATTTGGATTGTCTGAAATATGCACTCAAGAATGGATTTCCATGGAAGAGTAATTATACTGAGCGAATTGAAGATATTTTTTGTAGTTTGTGTAGTTTGGAAACCTAAAAGGAGGGTTGTGGACCAGGTCTTCTCTGCTAAGTGCAGCATTTAGTGGTGATTTGGATTGTCTGAAATATGCACTTAAGAAAGGATTTCCATGGAGGAGTAATTATACTGAGCGAATAGAAGATATTTTTTGTAGTTTGTGTAGTTTGGAAACCTAAAAGGAGGGTTGTGGACCAGCTCTACTCTGCTAAGTGCAGCATCTAGTGGTGATTTGGATTGTCTGAAATATGCACTTAAGAATGGATTTCCACGGAGGAGTAATTATACTGAGCGAATTGAAGATATTTTTTGTAGTTTGTGTAGTTTGGAAACCTAAAAGGAGGGTTGTGGACCAGGTCTACTCTGCTTAGTGCAGCATCTAGTGGTGATTTGGATTGTCTGAAATATGCACTTAAGAAAGGATTTCCATGGAGGAGTAATTATACTGAGCGAATTGAAGATATTTTTTGTAGTTTGTATAGTTTGGAAACCTAAAAGGAGGGTTGTGGACCAGGTCTACTCTGCTAAGTGCAGCATCTAGTGGTGATTTGGATTGTCTGAAATATGCACTCAAGAATGGATTTCCATGGAAGAGTAATTATACTGAGCGAATTGAAGATATTTTTTGTAGTTTGTGTAGTTTGGAAACCTAAAAGGAGGGTTGTGGACCAGGTCTACTCTGCTAAGTGCAGCATCTAGTGGTGATTTGGATTGTCTGAAATATGCACTTAAGAATGAATTTCCACGGAGGAGTAATTATACTGAGCGAATTGAAGATATTTTTTGTAGTTTGTGTAGTTTGGAAACCTAAAAGGAGGGTTGTGGACCAGGTCTACTCTGCTAAGTACATTATCTAGTGGTGATTTGGATTGTCTGAAATATGCACTTAAGAAAGGATTTCCATGGAGGAGTAATTATACTGAGCGAATTGAAGATATTTTTTGTAGTTTGTGTAGTTTGGAAACCTAAAAGGAGGGTTGTGGACCAGGTCTACTCTGCTAAGTGCAGCAACTATTGGTGATTTGGATTGTCTGAAATATGCACTTATGAAAGGATTCCCATGAAGGAGTAATTATACTGAGCGAATTGAAGATATTTTTTGTGGTTTGTGTAGTGGATGGAAAGAGGTATGTACTGCTGCCGTTGGTATTGGTAACTTGTAAGGATTGAAGTTTAGAATTTGGATACCTAAAAGAAGGGTTGTGGACCATGTCTACTCTGCTAAGTGCAGCATCTAGTGGTGATTTGGATTGTCTGAAATATGCACTTAAGAAAGGATTTCCATGGAGGAGTAATTATACTGAGCGAATTGAAGATATTTTTGTAGTTTGTGTAGTTTGGAAACCTAAAAGGAGGGTTGTGGACCAGGTCTACTCTGCTAAGTGCAGCATCTAGTGGTGATTTGGATTGTCTGAAATATGCACTTAATAATGGATTTCCATGGAAGAGTAATTATACTGAGCGAATTGAAGATATTTTTTGTAGTTTGTGTAGTTTGGAAACCTAAAAAGAGGGTTGTGGACCAGGTCTACTCTGCTTAGTGCAGCATCTAGTGGTGATTTGGATTGTCTGAAATATGCACTTAAGAAAGGATTTCCATGGAAGAGTAATTATACTGAGAGAATTGAAGATATTTTTTGTAGTTTGTATAGTTTGGAAACCTAAAAGGAGGGTTGTGGACCAGGTCTACTCTGCTAAGTGCAGCATCTAGTGGTGATTTGGATTGTCTGAAATATGCACTCAAGAATGGATTTCCATGGAAGAGTAATTATACTGAGCGAATTGAAGATATTTTTTGTAGTTTGTGTAGTTTGGAAACCTAAAAGGAGGGTTGTGGACCAGGTCTACTCTGCTAAGTGCAGCATCTAGTGGTGATTTGGATTGTCTGAAATATGCACTTAAGAATGAATTTCCACGGAAGAGTAATTATACTGAGCGAATTGAAGATATTTTTTGTAGTTTGTGTAGTTTGGAAACCTAAAAGGAGGGTTGTGGACCAGGTCTACTCTGCTAAGTACAGCATCTAGTGGTGATTTGGATTGTCTGAAATATGCACTTAAGAAAGGATTTCCATGGAGGAGTAATTATACTGAGCGAATTGAAGATATTTTTTGTAGTTTGTGTAGTTTGGAAACCTAAAAGGAGGGTTGTGGACCAGGTCTACTCTGCTAAGTGCAGCATCTAGTGGTGATTTGGATTGTCTGAAATATGCACTTAAGAATGAATTTCCACGGAAGAGTAATTATACTGAGCGAATTGAAGATATTTTTTGTAGTTTGTGTAGTTTGGAAACCTAAAAGGAGGGTTGTGGACCAGGTCTACTCTGCTAAGTACAGCATCTAGTGGTGATTTGGATTGTCTGAAATATGCACTTAAGAAAGGATTCCCATGAAGGAGTAATTATACTGAGCGAATTGAAGATATTTTTTGTGGTTTGTGTAGTGGATGGAAAGAGGTATGTACTGCTGCCGTTGGTACTGGTAACTTGTAAGGATTGAAGTTTAGAATTTGGATACCTAAAAGAAGGGTTGTGGACCATGTCTACTCTGCTAAGTGCAGCATCTAGTGGTGATTTGGATTGTCTGAAATATGCACTTAAGAATGGATTTCCATGGAGGAGTAATTATACTGAGCGAATTGAAGATATTTTTTGTAGTTTGTGTAGTTTAAAAACCTAAAAGGAGGGTTGTGGACCAGGTCTACTCTGCTAAGTGCAGCATCTAGTGGTGATTTGGATTGTCTGAAATATGCACATAATAATGGATTTCCATGGAAGAGTAATTATACTGAGCGAATTGAAGATATTTTTTGTAGTTTGTGTAGTTTGGAAACCTAAAAGGAGGGTTGTGGACCAGGTCTACTCTGCTAAGTGCAGCATCTAGTGGTGATTTGGATTGTCTGAAATATGCACTCAAGAATGGATTTCCATGGAAGAGTAATTATACTGAGCGAATTGAAGATATTTTTTGTAGTTTGTGTAGTTTGGAAACCTAAAAGGAGGGTTGTGGACCAGGTCTTCTCTGCTAAGTGCAGCATTTAGTGGTGATTTGGATTGTCTGAAATATGCACTTAAGAAAGGATTTCCATGGAGGAGTAATTATACTGAGCGAATAGAAGATATTTTTTGTAGTTTGTGTAGTTTAAAAACCTAAAAGGAGGGTTGTGGACCAGGGCTACTCTGCTAAGTGCAGCATCTAGTGGTGATTTGGATTGTCTGAAATATGCACTTAAGAATGGATTTCCATGGAAGAGTAATTATACTGAGCGAATTGAAGATATTTTTTGTAGTTTGTGTAGTTTGGAAACCTAAAAGGAGGGTTGTGGACCAGGTCTACTCTGCTAAGTGCAGCATCTAGTGGTGATTTGGATTGTCTGAAATATGCACTCAAGAATGGATTTCCATGGAAGAGTAATTATACTGAGCGAATTGAAGATATTTTTTGTAGTTTGTGTAGTTTGGAAACCTAAAAGGAGGGTTGTGGACCAGGTCTACTCTGCTAAGTGCAGCATCTAGTGGTGATTTGGATTGTCTGAAATATGCATTTAAGAATGGATTTCTATGGAGGAGTAATTATACTGAGCGAATTGAAGATATTTTTTGTAGTTTGTGTAGTTTGGAAACCTAAAAGGAGGGTTGTGGACCAGCTCTACTCTGCTAAGTGCAGCATCTAGTGGTGATTTGGATTGTCTGAAATATGCACTTAAGAATGGATTTCCACGGAGGAGTAATTATACTGAGCGAATTGAAGATATTTTTTGTAGTTTGTGTAGTTTGGAAACCTAAAAGGAGGGTTGTGGACCAGGTCTACTCTGCTTAGTGCAGCATCTAGTGGTGATTTGGATTGTCTGAAATATGCACTTAAGAAAGGATTTCCATGGAGGAGTAATTATACTGAGCGAATTGAAGATATTTTTTGTAGTTTGTATAGTTTGGAAACCTAAAAGGAGAGTTGTGGACCAGGTCTACTCTGCTAAGTGCAGCATCTAGTGGTGATTTGGATTGTCTGAAATATGCACTCAAGAATGGATTTCCATGGAAGAGTAATTATACTGAGCGAATTGAAGATATTTTTTGTAGTTTGTGTAGTTTGGAAACCTAAAAGGAGGGTTGTGGACCAGGTCTACTCTGCTAAGTGCAGCATCTAGTGGTGATTTGGATTGTCTGAAATATGCACCTAAGAAAGGATTTCCATGGAGGAGTAATTATACTGAGCGAATTGAAGATATTTTTTGTAGTTTGTATAGTTTGGAAACCTAAAAGGAGGGTTGTGGACCAGGTCTACTCTGCTAAGTGCAGCATCTAGTGGTGATTTGGATTGTCTGAAATACGCACTCAAGAATGGATTTCCATGGACGAGTAATTATACTGAGCGAATTGAAGATATTTTTTGTAGTTTGTGTAGTTTGGAAACCTAAAAGGAGGGTTGTGGACCAGGTCTACTCTGCTAAGTGCAGCATCTAGTGGTGATTTGGATTGTCTGAAATATGCACTTAAGAATGAATTTCCACGGAGGAGTAATTATACTGAGCGAATTGAAGATATTTTTTGTAGTTTGTGTAGTTTGGAAACCTAAAAGGAGGGTTGTGGACCAGGTCTACTCTGCTAAGTACATTATCTAGTGGTGATTTGGATTGTCTGAAATATGCACTTAAGAAAGGATTTCCATGGAGGAGTAATTATACTGAGCGAATTGAAGATATTTTTTGTAGTTTGTGTAGTTTGGAAACCTAAAAGGAGGGTTGTGGACCAGGTCTACTCTGCTAAGTGCAGCAACTATTGGTGATTTGGATTGTCTGAAATATGCACTTATGAAAGGATTCCCATGAAGGAGTAATTATACTGAGCGAATTGAAGATATTTTTTGTGGTTTGTGTAGTGGATGGAAAGAGGTATGTACTGCTGCCGTTGGTACTGGTAACTTGTAAGGATTGAAGTTTAGAATTTGGATACCTAAAAGAAGGGTTGTGGACCATGTCTACTCTGCTAAGTGCAGCATCTAGTGGTGATTTGGATTGTCTGAAATATGCACTTAAGAAAGGATTTCCATGGAGGAGTAATTATACTGAGCGAATTGAAGATATTTTTTGTAGTTTGTGTAGTTTGGAAACCTAAAAGGAGGGTTGTGGACCAGGTCTACTCTGCTAAGTGCAGCATCTAGTGGTGATTTGGATTGTCTGAAATATGCACTTAATAATGGATTTCCATGGAAGAGTAATTATACTGAGCGAATTGAAGATATTTTTTGTAGTTTGTGTAGTTTGGAAACCTAAAAAGAGGGTTGTGGACCAGGTCTACTCTGCTTAGTTCAGCATCTAGTGGTGATTTGGATTGTCTGAAATATGCACTTAAGAAAGGATTTCCATGGAGGAGTAATTATACTGAGCGAATTGAAGATATTTTTTGTAGTTTGTATAGTTTGGAAACCTAAAAGGAGGGTTGTGGACCAGGTCTACTCTGCTAAGTGCAGCATCTAGTGGTGATTTGGATTGTCTGAAATATGCACTCAAGAATGGATTTCCATGGAAGAGTAATTATACTGAGCGAATTGAAGATATTTTTTGTAGTTTGTGTAGTTTGGAAACCTAAAAGGAGGGTTGTGGACCAGGTCTACTCTGCTAAGTGCAGCATCTAGTGGTGATTTGGATTGTCTGAAATATGCACTTAAGAATGAATTTCCACGGAAGAGTAATTATACTGAGCGAATTGAAGATATTTTTTGTAGTTTGTGTAGTTTGGAAACCTAAAAGGAGGGTTGTGGACCAGGTCTACTCTGCTAAGTACAGCATCTAGTGGTGATTTGGATTGTCTGAAATATGCACTTAAGAAAGGATTTCCATGGAGGAGTAATTATACTGAGCGAATTGAAGATATTTTTTGTAGTTTGTGTAGTTTGGAAACCTTAAAGGAGGGTTGTGGACCAGGTCTACTCTGCTAAGTGCAGCATCTATTGGTGATTTGGATTGTCTGAAATATGCACTTATGAAAGGATTCCCATGAAGGAGTAATTATACTGAGCGAATTGAAGATATTTTTTGTGGTTTGTGTAGTGGATGGAAAGAGGTATGTACTGCTGCCGTTGGTACTGGTAACTTGTAAGGATTGAAGTTTAGAATTTGGATACCTAAAAGAAGGGTTGTGGACCATGTCTACTCTGCTAAGTGCAGCATCTAGTGGTGATTTGGATTGTCTGAAATATGCAATAAAGAATGGATTTCCATGGAGGAGTAATTATACTGAGCGAATTGAAGATATTTTTTGTAGTTTGTGTAGTTTAAAAACCTAAAAGGAGGGTTGTGGACCAGGTCTACTCTGCTAAGTGCAGCATCTAGTGGTGATTTGGATTGTCTGAAATATGCACATAATAATGGATTTCCATGGAAGAGTAATTATACTGAGCGAATTGAAGATATTTTTTGTAGTTTGTGTAGTTTGGAAACCTAAAAGGAGGGTTGTGGACCAGGTCTACTCTGCTAAGTGCAGCATCTAGTGGTGATTTGGATTGTCTGAAATATGCACTCAAGAATGGATTTCCATGGAAGAGTAATTATACTGAGCGAATTGAAGATATTTTTTGTAGTTTGTGTAGTTTGGAAACCTAAAAGGAGGGTTGTGGACCAGGTCTACTCTGCTAAGTGCAGCATCTAGTGGTGATTTGGATTGTCTGAAATATGCACTTAAGAAAGGATTTCCATGGAGGAGTAATTATACTGAGCGAATTGAAGATATTTTTTGTAGTTTGTGTAGTTTGGAAACCTAAAAGGAGGGTTGTGGACCAGGTCTACTCTGCTAAGTGCAGCATCTAGTGGTGATTTGGATTGTCTGAAATATGCACTTATGAAAGGATTCCCATGAAGGAGTAATTATACTGAGCGAATTGAAGATATTTTTTGTGGTTTGTGTAGTGGATGGAAAGAGGTATGTACTGCTGCCGTTGGTACTGGTAACTTGTAAGGATTGAAGTTTAGAATTTGGATACCTAAAAGAAGGGTTGTGGACCAGGTCTACTCTGCTAAGTGCAGCATCTAGTGGTGATTTGGATTGTCTGAAATATGCACTTAAGAAAGGATTTCCATGGAGGAGTAATTATACTGAGCGAATTGAAGATATTTTTTGTAGTTTGTGTAGTTTGGAAACCTAAGAGGAGGGTTGTGGACCAGGTCTACTCTGCTAAGTGCAGCATCTAGTGGTGATTTGGATTGTCTGAAATATGCACTTAAGAATGGATTTCCACGGAGGAGTAATTATACTTAGCGAATTGAAGATATTTTTTGTAGTTTGTGTAGTTTAGAAACCTAAAAGGAGAGTTGTGGACCAGGTCTACTCTGCTAAGTGCAGCATCTAGTGGTGATTTGGATTTTCTGAAATATGCACTTAAGAATGGATTTCCATGGAAGAGTAATTATACTGAGCGAATTGAAGATATTTTTTGTAGTTTGTATAGTTTGGAAACCTAAAAGGAGGGTTGTGGACCAGGTCTACTCTGCTTAGTGCAGCATCTAGTGGTGATTTGGATTGTCTGAAATATGCACTTAAGAAAGGATTTCCATGGAGGAGTAATTATACTGAGCGAATTGAAGATATTTTTTGTAGTTTGTATAGTTTGGAAACCTAAAAGGAGGGTTGTGGACCAGGTCTACTCTGCTAAGTGCAGCATCTAGTGGTGATTTGGATTGTCTGAAATATGCACTCAAGAATGGATTTCCATGGAAGAGTAATTATACTGAGCGAATTGAAGATATTTTTTGTAGTTTGTGTAGTTTGGAAACCTAAAAGGAGGGTTGTGGACCAGGTCTACTCTGCTAAGTGCAGCATCTAGTGGTGATTTGGATTGTCTGAAATATGCACTTAAGAAAGGATTTCCATGGAGGAGTAATTATACTGAGCGAATTGAAGATATTTTTTGTAGTTTGTGTAGTTTGGAAACCTTAAAGGAGGGTTGTGGACCAGGTCTACTCTGCTAAGTGCAGCATCTATTGGTGATTTGGATTGTCTGAAATATGCACTTATGAAAGGATTCCCATGAAGGAGTAATTATACTGAGCGAATTGAAGATATTTTTTGTGGTTTGTGTAGTGGATGGAAAGAGGTATGTACTGCTGCCGTTGGTACTGGTAACTTGTAAGGATTGAAGTTTAGAATTTGGATACCTAAAAGAAGGGTTGTGGACCATGTCTACTCTGCTAAGTGCAGCATCTAGTGGTGATTTGGATTGTCTGAAATATGCAATAAAGAATGGATTTCCATGGAGGAGTAATTATACTGAGCGAATTGAAGATATTTTTTGTAGTTTGTGTAGTTTAAAAACCTAAAAGGAGGGTTGTGGACCAGGTCTACTCTGCTAAGTGCAGCATCTAGTGGTGATTTGGATTGTCTGAAATATGCACATAATAATGGATTTCCATGGAAGAGTAATTATACTGAGCGAATTGAAGATATTTTTTGTAGTTTGTGTAGTTTGGAAACCTAAAAGGAGGGTTGTGGACCAGGTCTACTCTGCTAAGTGCAGCATCTAGTGGTGATTTGGATTGTCTGAAATATGCACTCAAGAATGGATTTCCATGGAAGAGTAATTATACTGAGCGAATTGAAGATATTTTTTGTAGTTTGTGTAGTTTGGAAACCTAAAAGGAGGGTTGTGGACCAGGTCTACTCTGCTAAGTGCAGCATCTAGTGGTGATTTGGATTGTCTGAAATATGCACTTAAGAAAGGATTTCCATGGAGGAGTAATTATACTGAGCGAATTGAAGATATTTTTTGTAGTTTGTGTAGTTTGGAAACCTAAAAGGAGGGTTGTGGACCAGGTCTACTCTGCTAAGTGCAGCATCTAGTGGTGATTTGGATTGTCTGAAATATGCACTTATGAAAGGATTCCCATGAAGGAGTAATTATACTGAGCGAATTGAAGATATTTTTTGTGGTTTGTGTAGTGGATGGAAAGAGGTATGTACTGCTGCCGTTGGTACTGGTAACTTGTAAGGATTGAAGTTTAGAATTTGGATACCTAAAAGAAGGGTTGTGGACCAGGTCTACTCTGCTAAGTGCAGCATCTAGTGGTGATTTGGATTGTCTGAAATATGCACTTAAGAAAGGATTTCCATGGAGGAGTAATTATACTGAGCGAATTGAAGATATTTTTTGTAGTTTGTGTAGTTTGGAAACCTAAGAGGAGGGTTGTGGACCAGGTCTACTCTGCTAAGTGCAGCATCTAGTGGTGATTTGGATTGTCTGAAATATGCACTTAAGAATGGATTTCCACGGAGGAGTAATTATACTTAGCGAATTGAAGATATTTTTTGTAGTTTGTGTAGTTTAGAAACCTAAAAGGAGAGTTGTGGACCAGGTCTACTCTGCTAAGTGCAGCATCTAGTGGTGATTTGGATTTTCTGAAATATGCACTTAAGAATGGATTTCCATGGAAGAGTAATTATACTGAGCGAATTGAAGATATTTTTTGTAGTTTGTGTAGTTTGGAAACCTAAAAAGAGGGTTGTGGACCAGGTCTACTCTGCTTAGTGCAGCATCTAGTGGTGATTTGGATTGTCTGAAATATGCACTTAAGAAAGGATTTCCATGGAGGAGTAATTATACTGAGCGAATTGAAGATATTTTTTGTAGTTTGTATAGTTTGGAAACCTAAAAGGAGGGTTGTGGACCAGGTCTACTCTGCTAAGTGCAGCATCTAGTGGTGATTTGGATTGTCTGAAATATGCACTCAAGAATGGATTTCCATGGAAGAGTAATTATACTGAGAGAATTGAAGATATTTTTTGTAGTTTGTGTAGTTTGGAAACCTAAGAGGAGGGTTGTGGACCAGGTCTACTCTGCTAAGTGCAGCATCTAGTGGTGATTTGGATTGTCTGAAATATGCACTTAAGAATGGATTTCCACGGAGGAGTAATTATACTTAGCGAATTGAAGATATTTTTTGTAGTTTGTGTAGTTTAGAAACCTAAAAGGAGAGTTGTGGACCAGGTCTACTCTGCTAAGTGCAGCATCTAGTGGTGATTTGGATTTTCTGAAATATGCACTTAAGAATGGATTTCCATGGAAGAGTAATTATACTGAGCGAATTGAAGATATTTTTTGTAGTTTGTATAGTTTGGAAACCTAAAAGGAGGGTTGTGGACCAGGTCTACTCTGCTAAGTGCAGCATCTAGTGGTGATTTGGATTGTCTGAAATATGCACTCAAGAATGGATTTCCATGGAAGAGTAATTATACTGAGCGAATTGAAGATATTTTTTGTAGTTTGTGTAGTTTGGAAACCTAAAAGGAGGGTTGTGGACCAGGTCTACTCTGCTAAGTGCAGCATCTAGTGGTGATTTGGATTGTCTGAAATATGCACTTAAGAATGAATTTCCACGGAAGAGTAATTATACTGAGCGAATTGAAGATATTTTTTGTAGTTTGTGTAGTTTGGAAACCTAAAAGGAGGGTTGTGGACCAGGTCTACTCTGCTAAGTACAGCATCTAGTGGTGATTTGGATTGTCTGAAATATGCACTTAAGAAAAGATTTCCATGGAGGAGTAATTATACTGAGCGAATTGAAGATATTTTTTGTAGTTTGTGTAGTTTGGAAACCTTAAAGGAGGGTTGTGGACCAGGTCTACTCTGCTAAGTGCAGCATCTATTGGTGATTTGGATTGTCTGAAATATGCACTTATGAAAGGATTCCCATGAAGGAGTAATTATACTGAGCGAATTGAAGATATTTTTTGTGGTTTGTGTAGTGGATGGAAAGAGGTATGTACTGCTGCCGTTGGTACTGGTAACTTGTAAGGATTGAAGTTTAGAATTTGGATACCTAAAAGAAGGGTTGTGGACCATGTCTACTCTGCTAAGTGCAGCATCTAGTGGTGATTTGGATTGTCTGAAATATGCACTTAAGAATGGATTTCCATGGAGGAGTAATTATACTGAGCGAATTGAAGATATTTTTTGTAGTTTGTGTAGTTTAAAAACCTAAAAGGAGGGTTGTGGACCAGGTCTACTCTGCTAAGTGCAGCATCTAGTGGTGATTTGGATTGTCTGAAATATGCACATAATAATGGATTTCCATGGAAGAGTAATTATACTGAGCGAATTGAAGATATTTTTTGTAGTTTGTGTAGTTTGGAAACCTAAAAGGAGGGTTGTGGACCAGGTCTACTCTGCTAAGTGCAGCATCTAGTGGTGATTTGGATTGTCTGAAATATGCACTCAAGAATGGATTTCCATGGAAGAGTAATTATACTGAGCGAATTGAAGATATTTTTTGTAGTTTGTGTAGTTTGGAAACCTAAAAGGAGGGTTGTGGACCAGGTCTACTCTGCTAAGTGCAGCATCTAGTGGTGATTTGGATTGTCTGAAATATGCACTTAAGAAAGGATTTCCATGGAGGAGTAATTATACTGAGCGAATTGAAGATATTTTTTGTAGTTTGTGTAGTTTGGAAACCTAAAAGGAGGGTTGTGGACCAGGTCTACTCTGCTAAGTGCAGCATCTAGTGGTGATTTGGATTGTCTGAAATATGCACTTATGAAAGGATTCCCATGAAGGAGTAATTATACTGAGCGAATTGAAGATATTTTTTGTGGTTTGTGTAGTGGATGGAAAGAGGTATGTACTGCTGCCGTTGGTACTGGTAACTTGTAAGGATTGAAGTTTAGAATTTGGATACCTAAAAGAAGGGTTGTGGACCAGGTCTACTCTGCTAAGTGCAGCATCTAGTGGTGATTTGGATTGTCTGAAATATGCACTTAAGAAAGGATTTCCATGGAGGAGTAATTATACTGAGCGAATTGAAGATATTTTTTGTAGTTTGTGTAGTTTGGAAACCTAAGAGGAGGGTTGTGGACCAGGTCTACTCTGCTAAGTGCAGCATCTAGTGGTGATTTGGATTGTCTGAAATATGCACTTAAGAATGGATTTCCACGGAGGAGTAATTATACTTAGCGAATTGAAGATATTTTTTGTAGTTTGTGTAGTTTAGAAACCTAAAAGGAGAGTTGTGGACCAGGTCTACTCTGCTAAGTGCAGCATCTAGTGGTGATTTGGATTTTCTGAAATATGCACTTAAGAATGGATTTCCATGGAAGAGTAATTATACTGAGCGAATTGAAGATATTTTTTGTAGTTTGTGTAGTTTGGAAACCTAAAAAGAGGGTTGTGGACCAGGTCTACTCTGCTTAGTGCAGCATCTAGTGGTGATTTGGATTGTCTGAAATATGCACTCAAGAATGGATTTCCATGGAAGAGTAATTATACTGAGAGAATTGAAGATATTTTTTGTAGTTTGTGTAGTTGATGGAAAGAGGTTTGTACTGCTGCCGCTGGTTCTGGTAACTTGTAAGGATTGAAGTTATTACACGAAAATGGATGTCCATCGAATAAATCTACAACTTTGACCGCTGCTACTTACGGACACTTGGAATATCTGACATAGATAATTTAAAATGGTTGTCCTTATGATGCTAAAAGATAGTTTATATTTAGGTATTGTAAACTTTTTTTTTTTTAATAAAAACGTATTTTGAGTACATCGGGCGAGCAGGTACTGATGACGTTAATGACGGTCTTGATTTTTTCTACTGCACCATACCGCCAGAAGACTAAAATGTCTTCCAGCCATGGAGACATCGACGACCTGGGTCAAAACGGAGCCGACGTTTAACTACTAACTAATGAATTAAGATACCTGTTTAATATTAGTTTTTATGGTTTTGTCAGAAAATGACGACTTGTTACAATAATGTACAATGTATAAGTAGTCATCTTAAATACAGTGGTATGAAACTATTAAAAAGAAAAAAACGTTTTATTATTTAAAATTCCTTATCTTTAAGTATAACATAGTCGTTTAAAAAAATATATAACATATTGACTATTATGTATAAACATGATATTTTGGAAAGACGGACATCCTCGTCAAATGGTTTATAACTAAAAATTTAATCATGAAGTATTAAACAGTAAGCTGATGTGTCTGCTAGTGTTTCAATTTCAATACGCAAGTCAAACGTTGACGTTTTGATAGTATCATTCGTTTTTGACAGATCAACACCACAATAAGATTATCGATAAAGAATTTCTTATTCACAAGAGGAGACAACCAATCTCTATCGTAGAATGATTTTTTAAATTCTGTACACGCATTATACAATAGACCAATTATAGAATATTAGAAATTTGCTCTAGAATCATCACCATCATATGGAAACACCTCAGTGTTTAAATACACTTTTAGATTGGACGGATTGCAATAAGTATTAACAAACCATTAAAATTATTAACTTTTTATGCAACTTTTGGCATCCTACTTTTAAAATTTAAATAATATAAATAATAGCTCTATTAATTGTCAGTTCCTTTTTCATATATGACACAATAATGAAACAATTGTTACTATAATTAAAATACAACTTTTTAACATCTCTGTAGCTATAGGTAAACATTTAATAATTGGTTCTGATTCAGAATTTTTTAAAATTATTATTAATGTCTCTTTTTTATGCATTTATTTTATACACTGTTAGAATTTTACTCATATTGATTGTTCAAATTCTGATATAATCAT